TCTTTACGAAGTCATTATTTGCTGCAACCACTATTTATTCATAGTTTTCACCTTATTTTATTCGGAAGCAATTATGTTGCCTCAAATCGGCGGTCTCTTCCAAAAAGAATGCAGACTCATCTATCCTCATCTTCTCCGCTCACCCCTCCTATCGTTTTAGTTTCCTTTCTTCCTCGCTTGTCTCATCCAATCCTGCTAAGCTCTTCAGGTGACGTCACTAGTTTCTAGGCAGATCCTCCCCTACCCGCTCCCTCGCGCGCCCCCGTCTGGCGGTGCGAACCAAACGGTCGGATCGCGTGGCTGGCGCCGAGGAACCTGACTGACGACGCAGCCTATCTACTCGAGAAAGTGGTGGCCGGTTCGGCTAGCAGCGGCCCTGCTAAGGCGAACCGCCGAGGCTCAGTAAGGATTTCGGCCTTGTTGCTTGGGTTCATGATGGTTTCGGCTGCCGGCTTTCCTGTCCAGTCTGTGGAGGTCTGGCTCAGGGTGGGCTTGGCGTCCTCACGCTTTCGTGGGCCGGAAAGCCCAAGGAGCACGCGTTGAAGTAGTTTTCCCACATAACAGTATTTTAAGATGTTTTAAATACCATCCCCCTTATTAAAAAGCCTTCATGGCCGCTTGGTGGAAACTTTTTTTCCTTGCAAGAAGTGGCCTTGTGGCCCGAGTCGGCGCGGGCGCGAAGGCCCTCACGCACGTGTTCGCGCGTATTTTCTCTAGTTCGTTCTCTCCTAGTCGCGGCCGCCTGGAAGCGTTCTAGGTTCTGGTGGGATCCATCAGTGATAAAACAAAGCGCCCTGCCCTTCCCCCCGGGGCAGACGGGTCGGGGTGCGGTGGGGACACTGAGTACAGGCCCAGTAAGTCACCGTCGTGTGCCCGAAGGGGACAGTGCCCTGGGAACGGGGACAGTAGCGCGGAGGGTGGGGCTGGGCACCCCCGCTTGAGACGAGCAGGGTCGGGGCGGCCCTGGTTCCAGGCAGAGGGAAGTGAGGTCGCGAAAGGGCCGAGTGTGACTCATATTTATAAGAAGCCGTGGGACATAACAGGAGGTGAGAATCCCAACCTCGGACGGGAAGACCGGAGCAGGCTCCGCCCCCACAGCGATCCAGCAGCGCCTTCCGCTCGCTGCCGGCCCCGCTCCTGCAGCCCGCCCTCCTGGTGGTTCCAGTGCTGGCCTAGACTTGCAGACAGTTTAAACCTTTCATTTGGGATAGAATTTACAGAATAAGCAAAAGGCATTTCAGAAGATTTAAAAATAATTTCCCCACAGGGACGCTGCTTTCTTTCTCCTTTATAAAAAGAATATAAAGGCTGGGCGCACTGGTTTACACCTGTAATCCTAGCGTTCTGGGAGGCCATCGCGGCTGGGTTGCAGGAGCTCAGAAGTTCGAGACCAGCCTGAGCAAGACCGAGACCTCGTCTCTAAAAATACTCGGGCGTTGTGGCAGGCGCCCTGCAGTCCCAGCTACTCAGGAGGCTGAGGCAAGAGGATCCCTTGACCAAGAGTTTGAGGCTGCTGTGAGCTGTGACGCCACGACACTCAACCCAGGGCAATAGAGTCAAAAAAGAAAAAAAGAATACAAAAATCATCTGTTTCAGAACTTGATCCTGACGTGCCCCATGAAAACAAGGATGAAAGATTAGAGCTGTGTGGCTAATAAGGGTGGGGACATTAGGCAGTTCTGTGAAACAACACAGGACAAAGTATGTGTTAGTATGTGAATGTGAAAACAAAAAGAAGCTTTCCAGGTGTTTATTTTATTAATTTTTTTTTTTGAGACAGAGTCTCACTATGTCGCCCTGCCATCACAATTCACAGCAACCTCAAACTCTTGGGACTCAAGAGATTCTCTTGTCTCAGCCTCCCAAGTAGCTGGGACTACAGGCACCCACCATAACACCAAGCTATTTTTAGAGACAGAGTCTCACCACTTCAGGCTGGTCTCAAACCTGTGAGCTGAGGCTGTCCACTCACCTTGGCCTCTGGGAGTGCTAGGATTACAGGCATGAGCCACCTTGCCTGGCCTTTTTTTTCTTTTTTGAGATAAAATATTAGTAACTCTTTTTTTTTTTTTTTTTTTGGTGATAGTCTCATTATGTCCCCCTCCCTAGAGTGCCACAGCTCACAGCAACCTCCAGCTCCTGGGCTTAGGCGATTCTCTTGCCTCAGCCTCCTGAGTAGCTGAGATTACAGGTGCCTGTCACAATGCCGGGCTGCAGTTTGGCTGGGGTTGGGTTTGAACCCACCACGCTCAGTATATGGGGCTGGCACCCTATTTACTGAGCCACAGGCGCTGCCCAGTATTGTTATTTTTATTTACAATTTTTGCCTTTCCCACTAGACTTCCAGATATTATTGTTAAGGGCTAAATTTCTGTATCTTCAAACACCTTACTAAAAGCCTCACATGTAGGTGCTCAGTAATTATTTGCAGAAGAGTATAAGTCTCCATTAGGCCTTTGTATGTTTTCTAATAGAGTTGTTATTACTCAACTCTGTTTTGAAATTTCCTTCAGAATCTGGATGCTTTATTTAGGAACAACTTCAATGATAACAGATCTTTCTTGGAAAGAGATGTAAGTCCCTTGCAGCTAAGTTTGGTGAATAAATATAAAACTGAAAATAGTTTTGCTCAAAGAATAGAACAGTTTAATAAAGAGACTGATTTTTCTTAAAGCTAGTTCTAGATCACTTCTAAAAAGTTTGAATAATGGTACCATACTGAAATAAGGTCATTTGTAGTCTCTTTTTTTCCATTTTTTGCAGTTTTTTGGCTGGGGCTGGGGTTGAACCTGCCACCTCCAGTATATGGGCCAGTGCCCTACTCCTTTGAGCCACAGGTGCTGCCTTTTTTTTGAGACAGAATTTCACTCTGTCACCCTGGGTAGAGTGTAGTGGTGCCATAGCTCACAGCAACCTCAGACTCTTGGGCTTGAGCATCTTCTTGCTTCAGTCTCCTGAGTAGCTGGGACTACAGGTGCCCATCACAGTGCCTGGCTAGTTTTTCTATTTTTAATAGAGATGGGGTCTGTCTCTTGCTTAGGCTGGTCTTGAACTCCAGCAGTCTACCCACCTCAGCCTCCCAGAGTGCTAGGATTTCAGGCATGAGTCTCCATGCCTGGCCTCAAAATAAAACTCTTTTAGACCAGCATAGAGGTAGAGGTAGACTTGTTCAAATGCAAAATTAGATGATAGCCATTTATTTATGGTATACCTACACTCTTATAGGTACTTTGCTAGGTGTTAGAGATACTTACAAGAAATTATAGCTTCTTGTCATCAAGGAATTCCTTGACAGAACAAAGCCAATAGCTCTGTATAGTGATGATTACACTATTGACATAACTCACCAAAGTGAATTACATTTTAATATACACAGGTCAGAAATCTTGTTTGACATAGGTGAATTATAGATTTTGTTCGAGTATGGGATTGTGAGTGGGACAAGACTAGTTAAGAAACCATTCTTAGGGCGGTGCCTGTGGCTCAGTGACTAGGGTGCTGGCCCCATATACCAAGGGTGGCATGTTCAAACCCGGCCCCAGCCAAACTGCAACAAAAAAATAGCTGGGCATTTTGGCGGATGCCTATAGTCCCAGCTACTCAGGAGGCTCAGGCAAGAGAATCACCTAGGCCCAGGACTTGGAGGTTGCTATGAGCTATGATGCCACAGCACTCTACCAAGGGTGATAAAGTGAAACTCTGTCTCTAAAAAAAAAAAGAAAAGAAACTATTCTTAGAAGAAATTAGCTTGAATGGGGTTTTGAAAAATAAAACTTGGTATGGATTGGTGGAAAATAGAGAAATGGTCACTTAGGGCTGGGTGTGGTGGCTCATGCCCATAATCCTAGCACTCGAGGAGGCTGAGGCAGGTGGATTGCTTGAGATCAGGAGTTTGAGACCAGCCTGAGCAAGGACCAGAGCCTGTCTCTATTAAAAATAGAAAAACTAGCCAGGTGTTGTGGCAGGTGCCCGCAGCCCCAGCTGCTAGGAAGGCTGAGTCAGGAGGATCACTTGAACCTAAGAGTTTGAGGTTGCTGTGAGCTGTGACTCCATAGCACTCTACCCGGGGCAACAGAGTGAGACTTTGAATTAAAAAAAGAAAGAAAGAAAGAAATGGTCACTTAAGACTTAACTCAGCCAAAGTAACAATAATCCAAAGTTTGCCTGGCAAATGTGGAGGCAGGTCAGAAAGAAATGACTTGTCTTAGGACTAATTCGTAGAGGTAATGAAGATAGATGCCTGATGAAACATTTCTCCCTTACATCAAAGAACAGGACTGTGTTTTTTTTTTTTTTTTTTTGAAGCAGAGTCCCACTATTGAGTGTGGCCCTTAGTGGAGTGCTGTAGTGTCACAGCTCACAGCAACCTCAGACTCTCAGGCTTAAGCAATTATCTTGCCTGCCTCAGCCTCCCAAGTAGCTGGGACTATAGGTGCCTGCCACAATGCCCGGCTATTATTTTGTTGTAGTTGTCGTTGTTTAGCAGGCTGTGGCCGCGTTTGAACCTGCCAGCTCTGGTATATGTGGCCAGTGCCCTAACCGCTGAGCTACAGGCACTGAACTGAGAACAGGACTCTAGATTTGATGACACTTTACAATGGATAGTGCCAGGTGTACACTGCCAATTTTCATCTCTCTAAACTCAGTTTTTCTTGTTTCCATGCTAACATTGTCGTGTTGACTCAGTCTAACAGAGGCAAACTAGTGAAAAGGTAAGTGCAATAGAAGCTTATACAGGAATCTTGATAATCACATTTTCCTTCACTCTTTCTCCTGTTTTCCCTGTGTTTTTGCTGTGCATATAAGCCACGCTGAAATAATGCAAGAAGTTCTCCTAGTACACTCACACTACTGATATTTTCCAGACTGTTGACGTTTAAAGTAAGGGGCTAATTTTTAACAGTATCAAAGAAAGAATTATATATATATATATATATGTCACTTTCTTCAGCATTGCTGTCTCCTTTCTTCCTCTCCAGCTTTTGGCCCTTCTCATAAAGATGAAAATGCTTCTATTTGATGTTTGGGCCCTGATGGTCTTGATTTCTTGCTCAGGTGAGGTTATATTTGTATGCTGGGACATAAGTGGCTGGTCAGTAAAGAAGGAAATGGGAAATCTCAAGTTGGGCAGCCCTTCAGTTTTCATTCATTGGGACCCTGGGGAGAGATTCCTGTCTCTTGGATCACTTGGAAAAACCCTATTAATAGACTATCAAGAGCAGGGGTCCTCAAACTGTTTAAACAGGGGGCCAGTTCACTGTCCCTCAGACTGTTGGAGGACCAGACTGTGGGCCCTGGGACGAGTCGGCTGCTAAGGCAGGACAGGCAGCAGTGGCAAAAACACCCGGCATGCTGTATAAATGTCCTTGGTGGGCCACAGTTTGAGGATGCCTGATCAAGACAATTCTCCCTAGGAAATATGGTTTCTCTGCTTGGCTCCCTTCTGCCCAGGACTGTCCTATGTTTCTCATGAGAGTATTTTATTTTCATTTCTTTGTTGTCACTCTGTGTATCATGATCTTGACAGAACAAAGGCCATAGCTCAGTTTCAAAAAATGAACTTGAACTTTGGTGGGTAACATTGCTACAAGCATTGTGTATTCCCAGAAGGGACTGGTATTTGGGAGATGGAGTGGATGACAGAGATGGACTAGCTAAAGGGGACCTATAGGAAAGGCTTCAGCCCCTTACCTACATCAGGCATCCAAGATCTGTCCAACGTCCTTTTCCATTGCATCTGAGATTTTCTGAACAGATTTAACTGGTAGACATCTAGGAATGTCTGTTGCTTTAGCATAAAATCAAAATGGGATGGTTTCCCTCTGAGAAGAAGAGATGTAAAGTTCCATGGGAAATGAATGACCCTGGAAGTCATCTATAGGCACACGATTTGTTTTTCTTTTCTTTTTTTTTTTTTTCTGAATGTAGGCACATGATTTTTAAACTTTGATGTTCATAAGGGTCCTAGGGAGGCTTGTTTTATTCCCTAGCATATCTCCAGGTCCTACCTTCACATATTTTAAACATTCAGTCTGAAGTGGAGTCGGCATCTGCAGTTCTATAAGCATTCCAGGTGAAAGCAATCCTTAAGCATAATTTGAGTGAACACTGCTTTGAGGTATAGGTGATAAGGTTCCTTTGCTGAGGGGTCTCCTGACCCCATGTGTGCCCTTAGCAACCAATCTGGGGGAGCTTCCAAGAATTCTGAACGTTTAGAAAGAGAATGGTTTCTTGGGCATGATTTTTAGCAACTCCATGGTGACACTAATAGAAAAGTGAACTTCTTTTTTTTTTTTTTTTTGAGACGGAGCCTCAAGCTATCCCCCTGGGTAGAGTGCCATGGCATCACGTTCATAGCAACCTCCAACTCCTGGGCTCAAGCGAGTCTCCTGCCTCCGCCTCCCAAGTAGCTGGGACCATAGGCGCCCGCCACAACGCCTGGCTATTTTTTGGTTGCAGCCGTCATTGTTGTTTGGCGGGTCCGGGCTGGGGATTCGAACCCGCCACCTCAGGTGTATGTGGCTGGTGCCTTAGCCGGTTGAGCCACAGGCGCCGAGCCAGAAAAGTGAACTTCTTAAGAAAGATAGGGAATCATGGTAGAATCAGGGCTCTAATTTGTTATTATAATTAAGGGTCTTTTTTCTTGTCTGTTCTCCTGAACCTTTTCATTCAGGGTAGGTTCCTTGGTCTCTAACTTAGAATTAGATAGAATAAGCTCTGTATTTTGTTTGGGCCTCATGGTTCTCACCAGAATCTTTGGCATATGTGGTTCATTTCAGGGGCCACAGAAGAACTGTTTGAGGTTTCTATTTGGCCAAATCAGGCCCTGGTGGAGTATGGACAGTCCCTCGTGGTCAACTGCAGCACCACCTGTCCAGAGCCAGGACCCAGTGGAATTGAGACCTTCTTAAAGAAAACCCAAGTGAGCAAAGGGCCTCAGTGGAAAGAGTTTCTCCTGGAGAACATCACAAAGAATTCCTTCCTGCAGTGCTTCTTCTCTTGTGCAGGAATCCAGAAGGATATAAGCCTTGGCATCACTGTGTATGGTGAGTGGGGCTGAGGGCTGAGAGGAAAGGAGTGTGGGGAAACATGAATATGTCTCGTTAGGGAAGAATAAACAAATACTTCTAATTGGGAGAGAAAATTGGGGCTTGTAATAAAGATTTCTGTCATACTACAGGGATGCTAGAGCCCTAGGAAATAGAGCTTCTATTTTTTTTTTTTTTTTTGAGACAGAGTCTCCTTGTGTCACTCTGGGTAGAGTGCCCGTGGTGTCACAGCTCACAGCAACCTCAGACTCTTGGGCTTAAGTGATTCTCTTGCCTTAGACTCCCAAGTAGCTGGGACTACAGGGGCTCACCACAATGCCCAGCTATTTTTTATTGTAGTTTAGCTAGCCCAGGCCAGATTCGAACCCACCCACCTGGGTATATGTGGCCAGCACACTACCCACTGAGCTACGGGCGCTCCCCCTATTTCCTTGTGATGTAGGCTTTCTCCTGGGTTTGAAATTAGGAACAGACCACAGAGTGTGTCCAGACATCTGTGCTTGACAATATGTTCAAATTCAGGAAGCATATATTAATAATGCTAACTTTTAAAGCAGTGGTCCTCAACCTTCTTGGGCCAGGGTCTGGTTTCATGGAAGACAATTTTTCCTTGGACAGGGAGTCGGGGTGGGATCTGACAGGAGGTGGAGCTCAGGTGGTGATTAGAACGATGAGGAGCAGCTGTAAATAACAGATGACGCTTCCAGCACCAACTGCCACTCACCTGCTATGCAGTCCCCATTCCTAATAGGCCATGGGCCAGGCATGGCCCAGGGGTTGGAGACTACAGTTCTGAAGTATCAAAAATATATAAGTTAGTGCTGAATTATTTCCTACAAGCTCTTAGTCTCCATGAAAAAAGAAGGCTCTTGAACTGCCCTCTTGCAGAATGGTTAGGATTTGAATGAAAGGGGACAAGGGTGAAGAGGGTCTTTCAGGTGAGCAAATAACATTGGTGAAGATAAGACCATAAGTATGTGTGATCTCTGTGGTTCAGAGCAGTGTTAGTTATAGTTTTTGATGATGCTAAGGAGTATGAGTATCAGCTTCTGCTCATACTTCTGAAGCACCTCTGATAAGAGATAAAAACTCTCCAGAATGGCAGCAGCAGTCAAAGCAAGGGACTTCCCCCTCAATAATCACATTTTTTAGCCATGGCTCTAGCTGTTTTTGATAGGTGGCAGAAGAGCTAGAGGTTAACTTGTCCCATCTAGGACAGGGATGGCAGAAAGCTGACACTATTGATCAACAGTGATCAGATCAGGCCCTATCCTGTCTCTGGAGAGGTATGTAGCACTCATCAAGCCCTTCCTTTTTGTCTTAAAAGAGCCACCAAAGCTGGTGATCCTGGAGCTGCAGCCTGCATGGGTGGCAGTGGATGAAACCTTTACAGTGACGTGCCAGGTGCCCAGTGTAGCACCCTTGGAGAACCTTACCCTTACCCTTCTCCAGGGTAACCAAGAATTGTATAAAAAGAACTTTGTGAGCTTGGCTATGGACTCCCAAAGAGCTGAGATCACCATCAATGTCAGAGCCCAAAGAGAGAATGACAGGTGCAATTTCTCCTGCCATGCAGAACTGGATTTGAGTTTACAAGGTGGAACGCTCTTTGAAGGCAGTTCACTCATCAAGGTACTTCGGATCTTTGGTGAGTCAGAGTCCAGGTGTGAAAGAAACTTGTGAGCTTACCTTGGCTTTGGGGGCTAAGTTCTCAAAGGGTTATGGGTGGGGATGATTGCACTGCACCTTTACTTGAGCTTTAAATTCACCTTGCTAAGAGGGACCTTTTAGCTTCATTCCCTTCCTACATTGTGGGGTCTTATATGGCTTATGATATATCATGGCTTTTCTCCTTTCTTATTTTTTGGCAGAATTCTCTCAGAGCCCCCAGATCTGGGTCTCTTCACTTATGGAGGTTGGGATGGCAGAGGCTGTGAGCTGTGAGGTGGCTAGGGTGTTTCCTGCCAAAGAAGTTACATTCCACATGTTTCTGGGAGATGAGGAGCTGAACCTCTTCCCCTTCTGGGAGGAGGACACAGTATGGGCCAATGCCACTGTTCGAGCAATGGAGACTGGTGACCAGGAGCTGTCCTGCCTCGCGTCTCTGGGTCCAGTGGAACAGAAAACAAGAAAGCCAGTACACGTTTACAGTAGGTGACCAGCCTCTTCTCCTCCTCATATGGGGTTCTCTGTTATTGAAAACTTAAGCAGTACTGCGTTTATAATTTGACTATAGAGATCCCACTAAACTTTGCTGGATACTCTTTGTTTTATTTTTGTTTGTTTGTTTGTTTTGAGACAGAGTCTCAAGCTGTTGGGTAGAGTGCTGTGGCATCACAGCTCACAGTAACCTCAAACTCCTGGGCTCAAATGATTATCTTGCCTCAGCCTCCCAAGTAGCTGGGACCACAGGTGCCTGCCACATGGCGCTATTTTGTTGTTATTGTCATTGTTGTTTTAGCTGGCCTGGGCTGGGTTCAAACCCACCAGACTGGGTCTATGTGGTCAGCACCCTACCCACTGAACTACAGGTGCCACCCTGGATACTCTTTCAAATGAATATTAGTCTTCATCTTCTTCTGGTAAGTACAGGCAGGTGGGGGACATAAATTGCAACAATTCCTTTCAGTCTTCACTCTCAGTTTCCTTACAGAGCAATTGTGGATGCTTGACCTTTTCCTTAGGAACATTTATTGAGGTGAGGAGGACATCTATAAGATGAAAAGGTACCTTGCTGTCCTTACAGCAGAGGCATAGCCAAATGTACGCACACTGCATTTGTTGTACGAAACTCTCAAATCCCTCTTTGCTCCTTCTTTTGCAGAAGCAGCAGTGGTATCTAAAGTTTTTCCCCTGTTGTCTGTCTACCTGAGTGATACCAGCGCAAGAGTACAAAGTGGCTGCTAGCTTTGAGAAATGTACTTGGTTCTCTTTTTTTTTTCATTCTAGGTTTCCCACCACCAATCCTGGAACTAGAAGAGTCATACCCATTGGCAGGGACGGACATTAATGTGACCTGCTCAGGGCATGTATTAACATCACCTAGCCCTACTCTTCGACTTCAGGGAGCCCCAGATGTCCCTGCCCCTGGGAAGCCTGCTTGGCTTCTGCTTACCACCAGAGAGGAAGATGATGGCCGAAATTTTTCCTGTGAGGCCTCTTTGGAGGTGCAGGGTCAGCAGTTGATTAAAACCACTGTGATCCAGCTCCATGTCTTATGTGAGTGGAAGTCTGATCTTTCTTACCAAAACAAGGATTATTAGTTTCCATTTAAAAAATCTTGGCCAGTAGCTTCAATGTAAGAGTTGCCGCACTTTTTTAATTTAATTTTTTTCTTTTTGAGATAGAAGCTTGTTCTGTCACCCAAGCTAGAGTGCCACTGCCACAGCCTGCCTCACAATGACTTCAAACTCCTGGGTTCAAACAATCCGCCTGCCTCAGCTTCCTGAGGAGCTAAGACTACGGGCGCCTACCACCACTTCTGGCTAATTTTTAAATTTTTAGTAGAGATGGGGGTCTTGCTTTGCTCAAATTGGTCTTGAGTCCTGAGCTTAAGGGATCCTCTTGTGTTGGCCTCCCAGAGTGTTAGGATTACAGGCATGAGCCACTATGCCTGTCCCATTTTTCTCATTTAAAGAAAAAATAAAGAGAAAAGGAGAAAATAAAATGAAAGCTTTACAAGTGTACCTTAGCCAGGAAAGTGAATGGGAATAAAAATGAGAGGAAATTGGGAACAGGAAGGAAAGTGGTCAAAGTGATTAGGCAGCATTAGTGAAGGTCGATGGCTGAGGAGAACATAAGAAGTAATAGTTAGAGCTTATGTTTAGGAGGGAAATTCTTTAAAATTCCACATAAGAATTTATATTTTGAGAAGTAAGAATATCCTCATCTCTGAGTTGACCACTATCCTCATCCACAAAGCAGGGCTCCAGGCCACCATGGACAGAGCAGTGCTGTCATTTAGACTGCCTCTCAGACTCCTTGCCCATAGGGAAGGGAGAAGAGTTGGCTCCAACCAGGGAACTGAGAGCGCTCCCTTGGGAAAGATAGCTATTGGGTGGAGGAGACAGCATTTGGGTTAGGGGAGGAGGAATGTGGTACACTCAGCTTGGCTCCTTGGGGGACTCTCTTTTTTTGCAGACAAGCCAAGGTTAGAGGAGTCTGGTTGCCCTGGCAACCAGACATGGGTCGAAGGGATGGAAGAAATGCTTGCCTGCGTCCCAAAGGGAAACCCAGCTCCAGCCATGGTGTGTACCTGGAATGGGGTCATCATTGACCTTGAAGTGCCACAGAAGGCAACCCAGAACCACACTGGAACCTACTGCTGCACGGCTACTAATCAGCTGGGCTCCGTCAGCAAAGACATTGCTGTTGTTGTTCAAGGTGACTGCTGCTAGGCCTGTGATGGAAATTCCTCAGGGGTTTGGGATTTTTTTTGAGATAGAACCTCTAGCTGTTGCCCTGGGTAGAATGCTGTGGCATCACAGCTCACAGCAACCTCCAACTCCTGGGCTCAAGTGATTTTCCTGCCTCCACCTCCCAAGTAGCTGGGACTATGGGCGCCCGCCACAATGCCTTGCTATTTTTTGATTGCACCTGTCGTTGTTTGGCGAGCCCAGGCTGGATTCCAACCCGCCAGCTCAGGTGTATGTGGTTGGCACCTTAACCGCTTGAGCCACAGGCACTAAGCCAGGGATTTTGGATTCTTATCCAAGCATGGAAAGAAGAAAGATTTTACTGGGCTGAGAAGGACCAGACTCAGAAGTGGGCTTGGTAGACTGAGCTGAGGTGATTCTCTTGTCCTCAGGCTTTCCTAATTCTGTTTTCTGTGCTTTAACAGGTCTGGAGAAAGGAGTCAGCTCTACTATCTTTGTCATTATTATTGTAGCCCTTGGAGTGGGTGTAATCACTGTAACACTATATTTGAACTATCGGCCCTGCAAAGTAGAGAGGAGAAAATTGCCCTATAGGCAGACAGAGACGAACAAAGAAGAGGAAAGCCAGTTTGCTTTCCAACAAGCAGAAAAGTGCAACTCACATAATTGTTGAATAGAAATCACTTTTGGTTGAATGAGACTTCCATTACCAGAGTTTAGGAAAGAGATGGTTAGAGGAGAAAGGAAGAAACAGAATATGAGGCTATGTTACTTGTTGTGTTTTTCTGTCCTGTAAAATAGTATTCCAGGCCCCTATGCCCTTTGTGTCCAATCCATCTACAAACTCATCTTTCTCCTTTGAGTTCACTCTAGTCACGAGGAATTTCATTCACAGTTTGTAATTAGTGAGATGGCCTCTTGCTCCTTGCTAGGTGCTTAATCAGTCCACTCTTAGATTCAGAAAAGAAGATCCTGCCCTTTTATCTTAAACATCAGACTAAGGAGATAGACACATCTTAGAAATGCAACTCATTTCTTTTCCCTGATGACTAACTGGGAACTAATTTTTTAATCCAGGGAAAAGATTTTGAAGGGGATATTCCCCTCTTCACATTCCCTTGCTCCCCTAACCTGGGGTTCTGGAATGCGCACTGCCAAAGTGGAGCTTGATATCATTAAAGGTCCTTTATTTCAACTCAGTAACCATTCGTTGTGGGCCTTGGGGATGTGTAAAAATCATAAGAAATTCCACATTGGGCTAGACAACCAGCTTACTTAGCCCAGTGTTCTGTGTCTGAAGTGGAAAGTAGAATGAAGTGGAAGGGAGAATTCTTCCCTGAAATTGGCATCATAGGTTAAGGGCTCCAAACATCCCTGAGTTCCTTTTCAAAGTCATTCTGGAGTAATCATCTGTGAGCTCACATTTGACAGTTTACTTTTTTTTCCCTGCATAAAGTACATATTTTCATGTGTCTGCAAACTCAAGTTTCAAGAGGAATCCTCTTGTGACAGTATTCAACATAATGATTTTATGATTCAGCTTCCTTCTCTGTTCTTTGGAAAGAGTATATATTCACACCTGGTGAAGGTACAAGGAGCCATAAAGTCAGATTTTTTTTCTCTCAAATTAGTCATGAAACGGTCACTGAAATGTTGACTATGATAAAAAATAAAAGTGATTTTATGATATGCAAATATATTTCTCTTCTTTGTCCTTTACTGAAAGCGTTCATTAAGCCAGTGGTTGCATTTCACAATTTTTTCTTTTTTTTTTTTTGAGACAGAGTCTCACTATGTTGCCCTGGGTAGAATAATGTGGTGTCACAGCTCACAGCAACCTCCAACTCTTGGGCTTAAGTGATTCTCTTGCCTCAGCCTCCTGAGTAGATGGGACTACAGGTGCCCACCCTATCTGGCTATTTTTTTGGTTATAGTTGTCATTTTTGTTTAGCAGGTTGGGGCCAAGCTCAAACCCACCAGCCTCTGTGTATGTGGCTGGCACCCTACCCAATGGGCTATAGGTGCCGAGCCATGCATTTCACAATTTTGAATACAATTTCTAAGGGAAGAGTGCTCAGCATAAACAACCAACCCAGGGCAGGTGATATTACATCAGCACTGGGCAGCAGCCTATTTGACATAGAGGTCCACAGCCTTCCAAATTGTAGATACTAGCTAGAAAGAATGCAGTATCAGACACCAAAGGGAAAAAACTTCCAAGACCCCCTGAGTTGTGGGTTTGGTATGAAAATAACCCTTTTCCTTCATGTAAAGGGCTGCGAGGATACAATCATGAACCAAACATTGTCCCTGGCTTCTGTGAGTTATTAGAGAAGCTAGACAAGTGAGATAAATGAGTAATTATGTTTGTGCATTAACTCTTATGACTGGGAAAACAGACTTGGATCAAGGAAGCCTTCGTAGATGGAGACTAGAAACATCTTGTTTGGCTTTGCAAAATAGCATCCCCCAAATAATCTTCTCAACTTCAATGTTTCTACTAAGTATAGTAGCCACTGTTCTCTCATGTGAGTCTAACACATCATCCACCTTTCTGAACTGAGCACTTCGGGAAACAGGAAGCAGGTCTAGAGTATACAGCAACCCAGTATAGGGATCCATGACCATTTGGGTGTCAGCATCAGGTGCATCAGGCCTGTGGCTGTTCCCCCACTGCAAACTCCCACCTCATGACCTCTGCCCACTTAGAAGAGGAGGTTCATTTGGACTTCGAGTTCCAGTAGGAAGAGCCTGGTGGGTTAGTCTGCTACTGCCTTTGCTTCTCACTGCCACCGGGTGTCAGTGTTGACAGATGGTCTTGCACAGTGCCATCAAACTAAGTTGTTCTGCAGGTCTGGTTCTAGGTCAGCTGCTTGGGGGGCGGGGGGTGGGGGTGGGGGGGACACGACTTCCTCCAGGCTTGGGCCAGCTGCAGGTGGCTCCTTGGTTGGGTGGGTATCCAGAGTTACAGTTCTCAGAGCTCCAGCAGTTTGAATTAGCTGTCCTACAGAGTGCTTCAGATTTGACTAGGCTTTTTAGAGCAGTGGCTCTCAACCTGTGGGTCGTGACCCACAGGAACTGTATTAAAGGGCTGTGGCATTAGGAAGGTTGAGAACCACTGCTTTAGAGGATGGGAATCTCTGATCCCTTTTCTTCCCCAGTGATCCACACAGCCACGGCAGCCATACCTCATTGATTCCTGAGGCACAACGGGTCTCGTTTACATCACTTTCCCTATATAAATAGAGTTTCTAAGCATAGACCTTCGCTGTCTCTAGGAGGCCCCACCCCATAAGAGGCTTTGATCACATTCTGAGTATAGAGCAACCAGCTTACACTTAAGCTGCAGCTACTTTTATCCCCAGGGGAGACTGACCTATAATACTTCAAAAGTTCATCATCTTAAGGATGGTCAAGGTGACTTTCTGACATTTTCTTTCCAGACCTGAGAAAGCATAAACTAAATCTTCAGTGGGGGCTTTTACTATAGGGAAATAGTAGTGTTTACCTTATAGGGTTATAGATAGAAATTACGTGGTACTTGTAAAACACTGGTATGGTGCTGTACATCTGTGTTCATGACTGTTGGCTTTTATTATTACACTAATAATCCTAGTAGTAATTATACCCATGATTATAATCACAAACTCAAAGCAAAGGGTGGAAATTCATGGCAACCAGTGAGGGCCATCAACCTGTTCCTTTTTCTATTTTTCTAGTCTTTTTCTCCTTCCTCTACTTACCCCTCTTCCTGAGATTTAGGACCACTAGTAGGAAGACAAGTCCTACTAGTTCTGTTTGCCTTGAGTTGAGGGCTTCCCAGGACATGGGACCTTCACCATTAGAATTAGGAAAGTTTCAAGCAAACCAGGATGAGCTGGTAACCCTCAGCCATGCCAAGGCCTTCTGAATTAAAGAAGCTGCAAGGCAGAGTGTCTTGCCTTGGCCTAGAAGTCCACAGAGGACTTGGAGCAGACGTCACTTCTGCATTCAGCTGTCTTTAAAGAGACAAAACTCACCCTGAATTGACAATGCTCATGGACGAAATTCAGAGTGGTCATTTTAGGTTAGAGTAAGTTCAAAAGATTACATGGAATCAGAAATTATTCCAGAGGCCAAGTATTACTTGAGTCCTGCCTATTCAGGTCTTCCTTATGCTGGTCTCACTAATCTTACCCTGGGAAAGATTATTCCTTAGAAAATACTGTTATTTGCACTAAAAAAATAAAGAAAATACTATTAAAAAATTTAAGTGTGATAAAATACAAAATTCACCATCTTAACCATTTTAAGCGTGCTATTCAGCAATGTCAAGTACATTTCTCTTGTGCATCTGTCACCATGTCTCCAGAAGGCTTGTCATCTTGCACTACCGAAACTCTGCTGGTTAAACAACTCCCCACCCCTCCTCCCCTCAGCCACTGGCAACCATCATTCTCTATGAACTTGACACTTAATAATTATTATACAATATTATACATGGAGTCATATTTGTCTTTCTGTGACTGGCTCCTTAGCCAAAATTTTTAAATAAGTGGTTAGAATTAGAAGCAGAAAGAGCCACAGCTGGCCCAGGTCTCTCATCTCCTTTTTCCCTGTTTCACCAATACAACAGATGAGGACTTAGGTATCTCATCTTTGTGGTCCCTAACTTAGGGGTTCTCAACTTTGTTTGCACATTAGAATCACCTAGGCAAACTTTAACAGCTGCACTTATCTGGATCCTATGCCAGGCCCATCGAATCAGAATCTCAAGTAGAGGCTAACACATGCATTGTTTAGAAAACACTTCAGGTGTTTCTAATTTGCAGCTAAAGTTGCTGTCCACTGCCCAACTGAAGTGTTGAAAGGCATTAAAAACAGTTGGCAAATCGAAGGGTTTAGGGTAAATAGTCTTTAAGGCCTTATTAAATTCTAAAATTTTGCAAATTCTGCTAGCATCATTGTAGTTCTCAGTTAGCAGTGGCGGAATTGATTCTGCTATACCCAGGTGGAGCTGAGGGGACTCTGTGGAGTGCAGCTCCTCCTGCAATCCAGTTCTGTTAAGATAGCTCCACTTTGGCTTGGCGCCTGTGGCTCAAGCAGCTAAGGCGCCAGCCACATACACCTAAGGTGGCGGGTTCAAATCCAGCCTGGACCCGCCAAAAAACAATAATGGCTGCAACCAAAAAATAGCCGGGCGGGTGCCTGTGGTCCCAGCTACTTGGGAGGCTGAGACAGGAGACTCGCTTGAGCCCAGGAGTTGGAGGTTGCTGTGAGCAGTG